TTTTGGCTGCTTCAGGATTCTCTGTTTGTCTTTGATCTTTTTGACAGTTTGATTGTAAGATAGCGTGGGGTTATCTTATTTAATTGAATCTGATTGAGACCTTTGACTTTCCTGGTCCTGGATATTTCTATTTTTCCCGGGTTTGGAAATCTTACTGTTATTATTATTTCTTTAAATATGCTGTCTCCACCTTTTTCTTTTTTTACTTCCTCTTGAACACCAATGAGCCATACATTTGCTTTCAAATATTATGCTATAAATTCCATATCTTTCTTTATTCCTTTTCATTCCTTTTTCTTTTTTTGCTTCCAAGTTTGTATTTTCAATTAATCTATCTTTGAGTTCACAGATTCTTTCCTCTGCTTGATCAATTCTGCTGTTGATGTTGTATATTGCATTTTGCATTTATTTCATTATATTTTTTTAGTTCCACAATTTTTTTATTTTTTAAATTATTTTAAGTTTCCTGTTAAATTTCTGAATTATTTCTTTGTATTTTCTTGAATTTCATGAAGCTTCATTAAGACAGCTTTTTAAAATTTTTTGTCTGGCAGTTTTTTCATCTCTATATCTGTAGGGTCAGTCGTTGGCACTTTAATTTGTTCACTTAGTGATGTCATATTTCTTTGATTGATCTTGATCCCCATGGCTGTGCACTGATGTCTGTGCATTGACATAGGTACTTAATCCAGTCTTGACAGTCTGGCTTTGTTTGGAATCTTCTGTCGTCAGTAAGCCTATCTAGAGATTAAGGAGAGGCTGACTGGTGAGAACTCTAAACTTGTGACTGCTTCATCTGTTGCAGTGCTAGGGGGCACCCTAAGCCCAAGATCACTGTGATTGGAATCCTTTGGCTGCTGAGGCTGAAGCAGCACTGGATCACACCTGAAGCTCATGGCTGCCAAGACCAGCACAGCCCTGGGACATGCCCAAGGCCCAATGGCTGCTGTGGCTGGCCTGCTACTGAGGTTTATTCAGGGCCCAAGAACACTAGTTGGCTGGCAGTGAAATGGGCCAGATCTCGAGTCTGTCTTGCTAGGGCTGCAGGTTACTGTCTGGCACTGAGGTGGGTTGAGAGCGGCCTGTGGGTACTGGTTTAGTTTCAAGGGAAATTGAGTTCTGCATGGTACTGGGTTTTACTGTAGTAAGCTCAGTACCAGGTTCCAAGGAAAAGTCCTATGCTTACTTCCTTTGTCCCATAAGCAAACAGTGTCTGTCTTCACACTGCTCTGCCTGGGGTTGGGGGAGTGGTGACAAAGGCGGTCCCGTGGCCACTGAGGTTGACACAATATTGGGTCACACCCAAAGCCCACTGTCACTGAGACCATCCCAACACTGGGATGTGCCTCCTGCCTGTGGGTGCTACAGCCTGCCTGCTGCTGAGGTTTATTTGAGGCCCAAGACTGCCGTAGTCATCAAGCATGATGCAGGCCGGAATACAAGTCTGTCCTGCCAGGCTGTGGGTTCCCATCTGGGGCCAAGTGGGTTGAGAGGCTCCCTCTGTGGGTACCAGCCCGGTGTCAGGGGCTGAGGGCTTCCGCCCCGTGCTGGGTTTTCCTGAGGCGTGCACAGTACTGGGTTGCAAAGCAAAGTCCTATGCTCCTTCCCTCTCCTTCCCCAAGAGGATGTTCAGTGCTAGGATATGGCCGTCCACTCTGAGGAAGAACAAATGGCAATGTGCGGGACCATGGGTAGGGAATGTCCAGCCTCGTTGCCATTTCCAGCCTAGAGCTTTCTGAGTCAATCTCCCCAAACACTGATTTCCCTCTAAGACTTGGCTCTTTGGAATCATAACTGACTACATGAATACACTTTCCCCTTTTTCTAACCCTTACCTACCTGCATTGTGTATTCACAGAGGTCCCACTGTGCCTGGCTCATGTGAGCTCTTCCTGGAAGTGAAGTCGTGCAGTCCTGAACACAGGCAGCCTTGGCCTGGGGATTTTGGAGTGATCGCTAACGGGCAAGGTGTTTGGCTTTCTGAGGAAAACCTGCCAGTCAATCCTGGCCGAGTCTCAGTTCCCAGTAGAACCTGTTGAGAAGAAGGACGAGAACGACAACATGAAGAGGGAGAGAGAGCAGCTGAGAGAACATCTCAGTGCCTGGGACTACCCGCACGGTCATTAGCTCCTTCCCGCTTTCTCTGCCCGCACGGGAGTGCTGTGCCCGCCCGCTGTGCTCTGAAGCAGTAGAGCGTGGCGGTTAATGGCTCCTGACCTCTCGTGCCTCCGTTTCCACATCTTTAAAATGAGGATTACAATAGTACCACACACGCAGGGTTGTTGGGAGGATTACTTGGGATAATCTGTGGAAACAACTTTGAACCAATGCTGGCCATAATGTATCACCCAGCATTAGTTCCTGTCTTTACCGTTACCTTTGTGCAAGTCTGTCCAGGAGCAGTGTGCTCCTGCTGATTTGGGAGCAAAAATCTGTGACCATATGCTCCCCCAGATTTTTACTTTCTTACTGTTCTATCTCATGTATGCCAAAGCCCTTTCCCCAGGAACTCTGAGATTAGTGGTACTCCCTCCCTCTTAAATTGCTCCCTTGTGTGGTCGCTGAGCTTGAGGCTGGGTTGGAAAAGAGGAAGTTGGTTGCTAGGGGTCAGGAGAAATGTGACCTTTAGTTTTTCTCATATTCTTGTAAGTTTCTTGTGGCTTTCAGCCTCTCGAGGTGAGTTTAGGTTAGGTGCATCTTCCCTAAAGCTGTTTTCTGGTTTCCTCCATCTGTGCTGGACACTGGGCAGGGACCTCTACCCTGAAGTCCATCACGGACTATCTGGGGAGTTACTCCTATCCCTGAGTTCTGCAGATGCCCATTCTGACTCCGCTCTGTGCAGAACAAGTTGAGAGGAACCCATAATTCTCCCAGTTGTGCTTTGTGTAATGATCCTGTCTTTTCCTTTTTTCTTCCAACCGTTGCCGTACTCATTTAGCAATGAATCAGATATTTTTGGGGTAACATCTCTCTTTTTCTAATGGACTATTAAAACTTTTCTTGTTATTTAACTTTTTAAAGATTCATGCTTGATATCTCCTCGTTTGCAAGCTCCTTAGTGAATTCCTTGTACCTCTTAGAGTACTTTACAGGATTTTGTGTCCTTAGTAGATTCTAGAAGAGCATTTGATTTTTAGTTATCTTCTTTATCTAGGCCTTGCCCTCAGAATTTTATTCTCTTGCTTTTATAGGTCTCGTTGGTTTACACAACATTGGACAGACGTGCTGCCTCAACTCTCTGATTCAGGTGTTCATGATGAACAGGGACTTCACCAAGATACTGAAGAGGTAGGACCATTATTCCAGCTGGTGAGCATGAATACTATTTTATGTTTATAAATATTCAGTTATTCACAGTGACTTGGACTTTTAGAGGTCTTCTTTCAAATCTTTTTCTGCATATTCTGGACTACACGTTAGAATCACCTAAGACGTTTTTTGTTTTTTGTTTTTTGTTTTTTTTACCTAAGAAGTTTTAAAAATATATATTAATAATACTTGGTCTCACTCCCAGTTACTTGGTTTCAGGTGGTCTAGGGTGAGGTCCAGGCAAGGGTACTTTTTAAAAGACTCCTCAGGTGATTTTTAAAATGCAGCCAGGACTGTCAGCCACTGATTTGGTTAAAAGAGAGTTGGGACTAAACCAATGTCAGAGAAGAAGTCAGTCAATGGTCCCCAATACACACACATACACGCTCACTCTTTATCACTCATTTTTTTTAAGGACTAGTATTTTATCACTCATTCTTTTCTGCCCTGTGCTTTCTCCTTTCTCCCGTCTATTAACACGGGCAAATGTCTTGGTTTCTCAATGCCTGTAATTAAATGAATCGTGCCAGAATGCACCAACATCGTTCATGTTGCCCTTCCCAGGACCTAACTCAGCACTTGCTATTTCAGTCCTCGAGTGCTTCAGGCTGGACATTTGCCGCTTGTCCTGGATGTGGACCCGGGACCCAGTGCATCTGCCTTCATTCCGGCGTGACTGGCGGGCAGCGTGGGGCGGGGAGAGGCAGCAGCTGGGCTGATCCTCCTCTCTGGAGCGCTGCACAGCTCACTCACTGGCGTGGGGGCTCTCGACTGCGGCTACGCATTGAAATCGGCTGGGGTGCTTAAAAATTCTAATAACCGGGCCCCACTCCCGGAATTCTGATTTAGTTTGTATGGCGGGGAGTGGCCTGGGTATAGAGATTTAAAAAAATTCCTCATGCCATTCCAGTGTGCACCCAGCTTCCAGAATTGTAGGTGTAAGCTGGTTTCTGGCTGTTCTTATTTGGCAGGATAACAGTGCCAAGGGGAGCGGAAGAGCAGAGGAGAAGCGTCCCTTTCCAGCTGCTTTTGCTGCTAGAGAAGATGCAGGACAGCCGGCGGAAAGCGGTGCGCCCCCTGGAGCTCGCCTACTGCCTGCAAAAGTACAAAGTGCCATGTGAGTCTCCTGGTCTGCGGATCCGAGGGGTGGGAGCTGGAGAGAGACAGAAAGGAGAGCAGGGCTAATGGGCAGTGAATCCACGTGAGGCAGTTAGGGGGACTGTGGACCTCTTGTAGTGCGGGCATTGTGTAGATCTGAAATATTCTTGAGAGTCACACATTTTTCCAGATGCAGAATTGATAATATGTATGAACATACTTTCAGACTCACCCTTTTTCTGCTTCTCAGTAATTAAGCCTAACAATCTCCTCGAAGTTTATTCAGCTACAGGTAAGGAATCCCAGGAAAACAATAAAGGAATAAAAAGGAGAAACCATGTTTTGAAAAAGAATTCACAAATAGGTTAGTTTAAAAAAAAACCACAGCTTTATTGAGATATATGTCACATACTGTAAAATTCCCCTGTTCAAAAATGTACAATTCAGAGGTTTTTAGTTTATTCACAGAGTTGTGCATCCATCATTGCAATCTAATTTTATAACATTTTCATCACACCCAAAAGAAACCTCATACTTATTAGGAGTCACTCCCCCATCCTTCTTTGTTTTATTCTAAGTTTTGTACTTTTAGCTCTTGCATTTAAGTCTATGTTTCATTTAGAGCTAAATTTCGTGTGGTCTGAGTAGGGGTCCAACTCATTCTTTTGCATGGGAACATCCAGTTGCTCAACCATTTGTCGAAAAGGCTATTCTTTCCCCAGTGAATTTTTTGGTGCTCTTGTCAAAAATAATGTGCAGCATGAGGACTACGGTTAATAATATTGTATTATATACTGGAAATTTGCTCAGAGAGTGGATCTTAGGTGCTTTTACCACACACAAAAAGGTCACTGTGTGAGATGATGGATATATTCATTTGCTTGACTGTAGTAATGATTTCGCTGTGTATGTGTATATAAAAACATCATGGTGTACACTTAAATATATGCAAGAAAATAAGTGTACAGGAGATATTTAATAAACTAGTTATAGTTAATAACAATGTACTGCCTTCTTGAAAATTGCTGACAGATTTTATATGTTTTCATCACAAAAAATAATAAGTATTGAGGTAACGTATACATTAATTAGCTCGATTGGCAATTGCGCAATGTATCCGTATTTTAAAACATCATGTTGTACACAACAGATATATATAATTTTTGTCAATTAAAAAATTTAAAAAGAAAGATGAAAGAACCACCCGATATTTGTAGCCTTTGAAAAATGAAAATTAATCGACCATAAAAGTAGGTGTTTATTTCTGGACTTTCAGTTCTATTCAGTTGATCTTTATCTTTACGCCAGTACCACACTGTCTTGATTACTGTAGCTTTGTAGTAAGTTTTGATATTGGAAAATGTGAGTTCTCCAATTTTGTTCTTTTTCAATATCATTGTGGCTACTTGGAGCCCCCTGCATTTCCATACAAATATTAGGATCACCTTATCAATTTACTTAAAAAAAGCCAGCTGTGATTTCGATAGGGATCGTGTTGAATCCGTAGCTCAGTTTGGGGAGTATTACCATCTTAGCAATATTAAGTCTTCACAACCATGAATACGGGATGCCTTTCCATTTATTTAGGTCTTCTTTAATTTCTTTCAAAAATGTTTTATAGTTTCATTGTGTGAGTTTTGCACTGTTTTTGTTAAATTTATTCCTAAGTATTTTATT